GAGCAGGATCTTAGCTTCCTGAGCCTCTATGGGGAAGGGTAAACTATGCAGCACAAGCTGATCGATCACATTCGGTGTCAGAGGCGTGTCTTTACCGATAGCCATGGCAATGTCGAACGCGTCGCCTCTTAGGCTCTCTACAACCTTGTTGACAGCTAGAGTGATAACGCGCTGCTGGGGCTCTCCCGTCTCGGAGTCCACTGGGGCCAAGGCGTCGCTCATGCGCATCGCCTGGCGGGTTTCCCATTCGCGGAAATGGTTCACGGTGCCATCGTAAATATAAGATCCACTCTTCGTCTTCGGCCGCGTCAACGCGTCGGCCCTCGACCGATAGCGAAGAGAAGACAGCGCCATGGCGGCAGGGCAAGGCAAGGCACAGCCCCTAGTGAGGGAAACTGTTCAGCAAGTCAAAGCGATCGCTCCCCCTGGAGAGACGAGCGCGCAGTGGCGCGACACGGGGATCGCGCTGCAGCTCCGATACCAATATGATTATGATACGTTTTAGCGCAATGGCAAAAAAAATGCCCCCTAGAGGTCAAACGGCAGCGAATGGCGCGCTATCGCACGAGACACATGCTCTATATCACACTCGTTTAGACAAGAACATGCTCCGCATCCGTCTAAGCGTTGCAGGATGCCAAAGTCGTGGACGCATGCTTCGCGAAATCTCACGCGAAAGGCCGATTTCGAAATGACAGCCGCCCTCCATCCGTGCCAGCTGTTGCACAGCATGGAAAACCTGGTCGTAAGAAGTCGAAGGGTCAGCGCAAGCGAAGTAGGAGTCCATCGCGCGGAGGGCGCGGGCATCCACGCTAAGCCCCGCCGCCTCTGGCATCGTCCGCGCGGGCGCGCGAGACGGTCAAGTCCTCGCCGAAGTCGACGACAACGAACGCGGAGACCTCGTGGTCGTCGAGGTTTTGATGGCAAGCATCGTCGGAAAAGCCGACGTCATTAATGTCCGAAGGCTCGCCATCGGCGATCTCCATCTCGGTCTGCCCCTGCATGGTTCCAGGCCCACGGCCCCCCAAAGCTAGCGTAAAACGGCCATCAAAGATGCCCCCAGGAACGCCATCCGCGATCTCCATGTCGGTCTACCCGTGCACGGTTGTAGGCTCAGGGCCCCCCGATGCTAGCACGAGCTGAACGCTCGGGGACCTCGTCGATGGCGGAACCCGCCAACTCACCTGAATCGGCCAGGCGATCTGGAAAGGGGGCATTGGCTGCCACAAATTGGGCGTCACCTTCTCGCTGGGGTAGGCGCGCAGGGGGACTTGCCATCAAGAGAAACCGACTCTTGGATCACGCGCAACGGCGACGTTGAACCTGGAAGGCGCGAATGCCATGATCCAGCACGCGAGGCGCGATTTGACCTGGGGGGCCACAACCAGAAATTCATAATCTAACCTCGTCCAGCAGCGACGGCGCTGAAGCTGGCAAGCCGGGGCTCGCGCAAGAAGCTGGTCATCGCGAGCCAGAACAGGTTCGCCGGAGGACCGCTCACCGTCGCCTGAAAGCCGCGCGAGCCCGGGAAGGTCATGACATCGCCATCGCCCGAGGATTCGTTCACCCCGCGGCCCGCCTCGGGCCAGGACGCGGCAGTAGCTGACCCGGGAAGCGGGCAATATCCTCGTCGCGCATGGCGCCGCTGAGGCGCGGGCGCGCGCCAGCGCATCAAGCGCTCAACATCGTCGTCGGGCCCCCCAGCTCGCCCGCAGCTTGGGCGCCCGCGTCGGTCGGCGACGGGGTGGTCTGGCGGGGCCGCTCCTCGCTGCGCCCCCCTTTCGACGTCCGACATCGAATGTTCCCGCGACGCGCTGGATCAATCGGCCCCATCAGCAGGGGGCCCGCGTCGAGAGGCCACCGTCGCCGCCGCCCCGCGCGCGCAGGCCGGGGCATTGATGGGGGGGGGAGGGGGCTCGCGCAGCGGGGGGTCGCGAATCCCGCCTTCGCGCGCGCTGCTCGGGAGCGCGCGCGCGCGGGGTCAATTTGCCGAGCCAGGAGGCCGACGTGCGATCGCGCCCTCGCCCGCGCCGCGAGTCGGTTTCGTTCGCGCCCAGGCCGTGGACGAATAGAAACACGCTGAATCCGACGTCACGGGAGATGCGCGCTATTCCAGCCAGGCCGCGCAACCCCCCCAGCCATTTCCCGGCATCGGGCATAGCTGGCGCGAGCGCGCGGGGGAGGCGCGGCACCCGGGGCTTCGTGTCCGAGGATGCCCACGAAGTACAGCAGGGAACCCTCCACAAGAAGCCGACCACAAGAAACCCAACCCTGAGACCCCAGGACGCCCATCGATTTTCGGCGTGGGAACGTCCCGCGTCCCGATGGAAACACCATTGAGACCCAAGAAACCCAGGGCGCCCTGGAAGCAAGCAGGGTGTTCCTTGGCATGGACCTCCTCTGTAATCGACGCGCCAGTTCATCCAGCTCGCTCGGTCCTCGGCGGGCAAGATGCAGCGGCCTGGCAGGGGCCGCGCCGCCGCCCTGCCTTCGCCGCGAGGCCAGGTCGCCCCGAACTCCATGGGGCGGCGGCCCGTCCACTTCGAACCGACGCCGCCTTGGTCTAGCAGCCAGCGAGCGCTGGCTGCCGACCGCTGCTGCAGACCGCGCAACTGGCTCGGCCGACGCCGGGGGCGAGCTTCCGCGGAATTGGCGGTCTGTCGACGGGCGCGCATAAGCCCGCAGCATTGCCAACCTCGTTCGGTCTGCGCGGGATTGGGGACGAGCGCCGCGCTGCGCGCCGGCGGCCCCGGCGCCCCCGCGCACCTTTGCTGGGCGAGCTGGGCGGCGTGGAAGAGGAGGGCGGGACCGATGGCGACGAGACCGCCGCTGCACTCGACGGCCGCGGCGGCGATTGAGGCGCGCCCCCGGCACGAGAGGTGGCACCGCCGCGCGCGTTGGGATTCTTGCGCGGGGGAAAAATATCGCCCCTGCCCTTGTCAGGCGTCTGCTGTCGCCAACCGCGGATAAGGTTGTTCCCCACTACGGCGTTTGCGGCCGACGCCTTGAAATTCAAAATCGCTTCGCCCAAAAGTTACTGCACTGGCGCGCACATTGCAACCAACTGCAAGCAAGTGGGGCCGCAAGACATGTCAATTTAGATTACGTGCGGTTACCGCGCAAACGAGTAACGGAAAGTACGAGAGCGCGGGCTAACCCAACGAGGGGAGATCAGCCCGCGCGGCAACCTACCATTGGAAAACCACCAAGACAGAAACCTCCCCAACTGTCCGAACCCACCCTCCCGCGGATCGGCCCCCAACAGTTTGGGGTAACTTTTCTGAACCCTTGGGGGCAGAATCAAATGCCCTCGAGCTTTAGAAACCTCTGGCCCCCGCGGGCCTACGACCGCCCGCGCGTCGAAACACGTCGCGCCCTGGCGCGCTCCCAAGAACCATATGGCAAAGCAAAACTTCGGAACAAAAACACGCGTAAACAAGTATCACCGCACTCAATCCAAGTCGCCCGCCGCCCCCGCAATCGCCGGGCGCGGCCGCTTCTGCCCCGCGCGCCCCCGCAGAAAGTCGAGCCCCACCCCCAACGAAACAAACAAATGAATTGGCGCTTCCCCCCCTCCCCCGACGAGGCGCGCCGGCGATCGAGCCGACGGCGCGCGCGCGCGCCACCAGCAAATGGGCGCGCAGCGCGCGAGATATATTCCCCCGAAAGACGAGCGCGAGTGGCACGCTGCGACGCGGGCGCGGCGGCGCAGCGCGACATCGAACACGGCCTCGCCGAGCTCGATGGCACATCCGAGAACCCCCAGCCCGCCGGATGCCGCGGCCGGCCGCGCGAGCTCCGCCGCGGCCCCGGCGGGCCCACGCAGAGTGGGGCACTCCAGGTGCGCATGCAGCTTGCTGGGCTGCCCGAGGCAGCACCCGCGCCAGGGTGGCCACCCGCGCGCGCCAGATATCCTGCGAGATGGGCTTCAGCCGTTGGCAGTGGACTTGTACGCGAGTGCCAGCGATGCTGGAAGTTCCCGATGCCACCGCCCAAGGGCGTGCGGTCACGGCGGCACCACAAGGCGGGGCTGATGGAGAGCACCCGCTGGCTCTGCTCTCAACATCACCCTCTCAAAGCAGAAACGGGGCTCCCTAAACGGGGCTCCCGCTTGATACTTCCTGACTGACTTGATTGAATCGACACAGAATGTGTAATCAACTTCTGATGGTTATTTCGGGGGTGGGGGCATATTCGGAAGGACTGAGGACGCCCGCGCTGCAGCGGGAGCACGATTTGGAACAATCGGAGGCGCAGAAATGGGGCCAACGCTTCAGCGGGGGCAACTTTTTAAAAGACCCCCCAAAAAAAACAAGCGAAAACCCAGTTCCCGGGGATCCTGAAAAAAACCATACGCGGAGGGGGGGGGACCAGACATCTTCAGGACGTAAGCCATCAGGGAAGAGAGGAGAGTCGTATTCGTATCATACCCGAGAAAAATCCCAATCATCATCTTTTTAGGGCTGTAGGGCTATGGGGCTATAGGGCTATAGGGCCATAGGGCTGTAGTTCCATTGGGCTATGGGGCTATGGGGCTATAGGACCATGGGGCTATAGGGCTATAGGGCTATAGGGCTGTAGGGCTATAGGGTTATAGGACTATAGGCATATACAGCTCTAGGATTATAGGGCTATAGGGCTATAGGACTAGATGGCTATAAGGCTATAGGGCTACATGGCTGTAGGGCTATTGGGCTATAGGGCTATAGGGCTGCACCCGGGCACCTGGGCACCCGGGCACCCGGGCACCAGGCACCCGGGCACCCGGGCACCCGGGCAATCGGGCACACCCTGGCACACGGGCACCCGGGCACCCGGGCACTGAGGCGGGCCGCGGAAATCGGTGACGCACCTTACCTAACCATATGAAACCACTAGGACCCCCACAGAGGCAAGCTCTCATTGGGGAATTGTGTAATCGCACAGGGGGCCAAGGGGGGCAGAAAAAGAGGACGCCAGCGGGAGGAGCACGACGACGACAACGACGAGGCCCTGCAGACCTCCAGCGTCTTGGCCTGCTGCTGGCGAAGCAGCGACAGCATCTGCATGGTCTCCACCGGCACGGAGGACAGCGCGATCTTGCAGATCCCCTCGACGAACTCCACCGCGCCTACCTGACCGTCCTTGTCGCGGTCGAGGATGTCGAAGAGGTCCTTGTGAGCTCCCTTTCCGCTGCTCTCTGCTATGAAAAACTGGAGCCCCAAAGGTCCGAAGATATGACTCCTGCAGTCTGGGATTTGTTCCTCGATGTCGGCCTCCAGGCATTGGGCCCCGCGACCATCAAACAGGATCCAGGACGAGAAACTGGACCCAGGAAAGGGGTCGGGACCTGTAGGGGCGCGTATTGAACAAACTAAATCGCCGGATGCCTGGTGCACAGGAAGCGCGGTTGTCTTCGCGGCATCACGCCACCCTCTGGAGAAGAGCACCTCTTCTGAACGAGTCGCGAAGCGCAAAGTACGGGCGCCCTAGCGCACATACAGATGACCTAGAATACGCCATGAAGACGAAGTGCCCCAGGAGCAACGCTGAGCAACCAAAATCGGTCCACGCCATCTGCGTGCAAAACGAAGCGAGGTAAACACGAGAGAACGGTAAGAGTTAGGGCGAGGTGGACGGGATAGCGGCGAGGTACGTGAGTGAGGGCGTGACGGTCTGAGGGCGACAAGGTCTTACGGTATTCAGGCGGCATGGTGTGGGGGCACAGGAGCGTCACGGCGCGAGGGTGCGAGGGTGAGGGGGAAGCGAGGGCCATCCTCTGATTATTCTCCTCCTGCTGCTCCTCCTCCTCATCTTCCTCATCATCATCACCCTCCTCATCTTCCTCATCCTCCTCATCCTCATCCTGAGAATCCTCATCATCATCACCACCAGCATCGTCATCGTCATCGTCATCGTCATTGCCATCGTCATCGCCATCACATTCACCATCACCAACACCGTCACCATCGCCATCATCACAATCATGATCATGATCATGATCATCATCATCATCATCATCATCATCATCATCATCATCATCATCATCATCATCATCATCATCATCATCATCATCATCATGTTCTTCATGGTCTTCATCATCTTCATCATCATGATGATCGTCGTCATCATCATCATGACCACCATCATCACCATCACCATCACAATCGTCATCATCATCACCACCATGCTCATTATCATCATCATCACCCTCCTCCGCCTCCTCCTCCTCCTCCTCATCATCATTGTCACCGTCACAATGACTTCCATCAGCATCATCATCATCATCATCATCATCATCATCATCATCATCATCGTCATCGTCATCGTCTTCGTCATCATCACCCGTTCCATCACCATCACCATCACCATCACCATCACCATCACCATCACCGTCACCGTCACCATCACCATCATAATTGCTATCATCATCGTCATCATTACCATTCACATCACCATCACAATCACCATCGCCACCACCATCATCATCATCCTCATCAGCATCATCATCATCATCGTCATCGTCATCGTCATCATCATCAGCATCAGCATCAGTATCAACACCACTATCACCATAACCATCACAATCATCATCGTCATTACCATCACCATCACCATCACCATCACCAACACCCTCATCATCATCATCATTATTACCAGCATCAGCATCATCATCATCATCATCATCATCATCATCATCATCATCATCATCATCATCATCATCATCATCATCATCATCATCATCATCGCCATCATCATAATCACGTTCATCCTCATCTTCATCATCTTCATCATAATCATCGTCATCACCATCCCCATCACCATCACCATCAACGTCCCCATCACCATCACCAGCACCATCACCATCGCCATCATCATCACCGTCACCATCACCATCACCATCACTATCCTCGTCATCATCCTCATCATCACCCTGATCCTCATCTTGATCATCATCATCTGCACCATCACCATCACCAGCGCCATCACTGTCATCGTCACCAGCACCATCACCATCGCCATCATCATTATCATCATCATCAGCAGCATCAGCATCAGCATCATCATCAGCATCATCAGCATCATCATCATCATCATCATCATCATCATCAGCATCAGCATCAGCATCATCATCATCATCATCATCATCATCATCATCATCATCATCATCATCATCATCATCCTTATCAGCATCAGCATCAGCATCAGCTTCATCATCATCAGCATCATCATCGATACTCCTCCTCCTCCTCCTCCTCGACCCTCGATGAAGGGTCAGGGTGAGAGGAGCGAGGATCAAGGCCGGGGTGACGGAAGGCGAGGGCGAGGGCCAGTGCCACGGCCGCCTCGAGGTCGGGGTCCGAGGCGAGGGCAGACGGTGGGCGCGACGGCAAGGGCGAGGGAGATGCAGACGGAGGCGGAGGGGCATCGAGGAGATCCCCTGCCTTCTCTTCTTGGCCCCCGTGGCCGTGCTCGAGCCTCCACCCCATGCTGGAAGCCTCCCTCCAGGGGGCCAGACCGCCCCGGGCCTCTGGGCACCCCCGGAAGTCTCCACACACGCACGCCCTCCGAAGGACAGAGCGAGCGCAAGAGAAAGGAGGGGGGAAGGGGGGGGGGGCCCAGGGGGGGGGGAGGACGGGGGAGCGAGCGAGCGCGAGGTGAGGGTGGAAAGGGGGAGGAGTGCCTGGGAGGGGGGAGGGGCGGGAGAGAGGGAGCGGGAGGGAGAGGCGGGGAGGGGGGGGGGGAAAGGGGAGGCGGGGAGGGGCATGATGTACACGCACTCTGGATCAACGCCCCGCGCGAGTGAGGATGACCGGGGAGGGATCGGGAGAGGGGGGGGAGGGGGGAGGGGGAGGGGAGGGGGGAGGGGGGAGGGATGGGGAGGACGCAAGAATTCGGACGAACAGTTCGTCTGGGCGCGCGGGCTGCTGGCGCCCGCTGCGCCCACCTTTCTGGCGGGAGGGGCCGCGGTAAAGAACGGAAGTGGCGCGTAAGCCTCCCTCCCGGCGCGGCCTGCGTGGGACTGCGACTGGTGAACAGAGAGGGGCGCGGAGAGTCGGGAGTGGCACTCGTAGGCTGCGCGCCCAAAGCGGACGAAGGCCCAGGCACACCACGCCTTGGCATGCGTGACTTCAGGTCCCTGCAGCAAGGGCGTCGCGGAGGGGCACCCCCCCGCCGCGACCCGAGGCGCTGCCCGCGGAGCGGCCCGCCAGACCGCTCCCGCGGGTCGCTGGCCGAAAGGGCCGGGGCGAGAACAGCAGCAAACAGCCCCACCGAACGGAGGGGAGTGGCAAGGCCCCCCGCGTCGCGCACCGAAAGCCGACGGGACCCGAGGGCCCGTGGCCGCACGAGCACGGCCGCCCACGGCGCCACACGGCCACGAGTGGAGCCGGCGCCGGGGGGCCGCACCGGCAAGGGGGCCGGGAAGGAACGGGGGAGGTGCGAGGGCCATGCCACCCCTCAGCGCACGATGAGGTTTACACCCATCGTGGGATGGCCTCCTCCTCCTCCTCCTCCTCCTCCTCCTCCTCCTCCTCCTCCTCCATCCTCCTCGAGCGGAGGTCGCCGGGGTGCACGGGCTCAGAGGGCGAGGACGGCCCCGCAGGTTGACCGGCGGGTGGCCTGGCGGGCGCTCGAGGCGGAGGGGTGGGCAGCGCGCCCCTGGTGGCGCGCGCCCGCTGGAGGCGGCAGGGAGCAGGAAGGCGGACTATTGGAGGCCTACTCGCTAAGATGTGTCGAAGTGTGCGGAGCTACGTTGTCAATGCCGCGCTTTCCTGTGGCTTTTTGCAGTGCTCCTGCTCGCAAGGCGCACCGCCAGAGGCGGCGGAGAGCTTGAGAGACCCACCCACGAAAAGAGCACCAACACCAACACAGGGGATTGCCTCCACAGGAAGAAGATGATCCTAGATTTCGGCGTTGGTGGTAATAGTTCGGTCACCTCGGCAGCCAGAATATTACCACCATTACCGAGATCGGGGTCTTCTTCCCTCGGTGGAGGCACACCGCCGATATTGGTGGTGGTGTCAACTTCTAGGCCTGCGAGACTACGTGGTAGACGGTAGACATGACAGCGGAGCCATGGGACAACATGCACGCTTGGGGCTGGTGCCATCGAGAGGCAACGAAGCCGCCAGTCGGCCGTCAGACGGCGTCGGATTAGAGGGTCGGACGCGGTCGTCGTCGGAGGGGTAGGTCGGGCTCCAGCGCAGATTGAAGGCATCAAGCCAGGACAGTCGTCGGTCGTAGGCGTCGTCAGCTTCCGTGGTGAGGCGTCGGAAGAAGACTCTCCTGACCATCGCACCCGTTGCGCCGCGGTTGGTGCCTAGAGTGTCGCCACGGCAGACACAAAGTGAGGAGGAGCCGTATGCGAGGCCCCAGGCAAGACGTACGGTAGGGATCGCAGTGCTCACGTGCGGAGCCTGAGGCACTGATCCGCTGTCAGCGTGGTGTTAGGCCAGGAGGAGCCCCTCATCCGAAGCCCACGCGATCCGAGGGCGGCGGGTCGGAGGTCAGTAAGTGAGGTGGGGTGAAGCAGGTAGGCGGCGAGCGCCTAAAGTGGGAGGGCGCGACGGCCGGGGAAGCACGGAGGCAGTCGGGGGCCGATGGGGGCCGATGGGAGCCTCTGGGCTGACGTACGGCGGGATCGCCTCCTCCTCCTCCTCCTCCTCCTCCTCCTCCTCCTCCTCCTCCTCCCTCCTCCTCCTCCTCCTCCTCCTCCTCCTCCTCCTCCTCCTCCTCCTCCTCCTCCTCCTCCTCCTCCTCCTCCTCCTCCTCCTCCTACCCCGCGTCCTGAGCATTCTCCTACAGTGAAAGCGTATAGTAAGGACGCGTGGCAAGGACGCAAGACCCTTGGAGGCCGAAGTTGAAGTATTCTGGGCGGCAGGCGGCCAAACCCCCAGGGCACCTGAGAAACTGGCCTGCGAAAATTGCTAGGGACGGGCCGCAGAGGCTGAGGCAGGCAAGGACCCAAGGGCAACCTTGAAAAAGTCGTTACTATGCGCGTTGACTGTAGGGTGGAGGGCTCAGGGTGCAGTCCATATTGGCTGTTGCGCCTCGAAAAACAGTCCGTCTTGTGGACCCACCTCTTGCAGACTCAGACATCGAAAATCCATCGAAGCGGCATTTCAGGTTTCGCCCTCTGCCCTCCACCCAAAAGAAGATGCTCGGAGTCAGAGCTCGGAT